TATGGAAAAAATAAAACAAAAAGGAGGACACAAAATTTGAGGAGGGAGTAGTTGGGAATGAAAGCTGGGCACAAGAATCATTAGATTGTTGTAAGTTATTCTCAAGATTTTGAATCTTACTCTGAGTTAGATGAGAAGAAGTTGGTGGGTTTTAAGCGGAGGAGATTTTATTAGGATCTCTTTGGGGTTGTGCTGAGAATACACTAAAAAAGAGCAAGGTGGAAATAAGACTCTTCAATAAGTTACTACAGTAATCCAGGCAAGAGAACATGGTGGTTTGGACAAGTGTGATAACAAGGGGATGGTATGAAATGTTCTAATGTGTTTTTAATGTAGAGTCCACAGGATTTGCTGTAGGATGATTGTGAAGGTTTAGAGAAACACAGAAGTCAAAAATGAGTTCAAGGTTTTTGTTTTACGTTTTAAGGATCCACTGACAACTGAAATGGATAACACTAAAGCAGGAAAAGATTTGGGTGTTTGATTGGGTGTTGAACATATTAAAACTGAGTTCAATATCCCTTAATATATGACTGCTCTAATTCTCACTGTAAATTAATAATAGAAATTCTGGTTAACATATCATTGTATTAAGTGTGATTTAAAAAATAACATAGTGCCGCTCTCAATGCACAGGTATGATCATGAATTTAAACTATAAAGAAGAGGAAATGACTGGATATTTTGGAGAGTCTCAGCAGTCAGCCAGCCAGTCTGCCATGTGACATTTTCTAGGGACATCTAGGCTTCAGAGTCTACCTGCTTTCAAACTTTAGACTATGGTGAAAGTAACATGTAACTGAGACTTGATAAACCTTATTTATCATCAACTTAGAAAAGGAAAGAGAACAAGGGTGTGGGCTCCATATCCCAAAGGTATTTATTCGGTAAGATGTACTGAGCAGGAAGGAACAAATAGCAAATGAGGAACTATGCTATGAACTTGGATTTGGCTGTGGTTGACTGCCTTTCACACACATCTTCCTGAGGGTTGAAGCACAAGGAAGCAGTCTTATCAAATTCAGTTGAATTTCCATATATCCTAGGACAATTCTTTATCTTCTTTGCTGCTTCAAAAGCTCTAGCAAAGAAAAAGCTAAACAAAGCTTCTTTTGCAAACTAAGTTCATCCCAGATTAAAATGTAGTTACAACAGCTGCTACTGAGGATTTTGTTTACTAAAACTTTCACAGATCTTTTTAAAAAAAAAAAGGAAGCTTGGGAAGAAGCAGATTTTACAGTAGATTTTTCTCCAGAGAATGCAAGGTATATTAGAATAAATTAGTAATTTTTATATTTTAGGAATGAGTATCAAGAAAGGTCTATGTTAATTTAACTTGTGGAACAACAACAAAATATGCTTACTATATTGCTCTGTTTCATAATCACAAGACACAGATTTTTTTTTGCATTTTTACTCTGCATTTAATCTTTACAATGGATGTATATTGAAATCAATAATGTTTCCAAACAGCAGTCAGCCAATTAGCAATTGTGGCATAATTGCCATTGCCTGTGTATGGGCAACCATCAAAATGCCATATCAAAACTCACAGAAAGGATAGCAGTGGCCTGTAGAAAGGCCCAGGGATAATTCTGGAGTATTCTTTTAAACTCTTAGACACCATCAGTAAAGACATTGAATTAGATAGTACTTAGCAAAATTTCTGAAATGGTATTTAAAAGTAAGCTAGATCTTCATAACCTCAAAGTTGTCTTAGGGCCTATTACTAAAAGGTTTTAATTCTCTTGTGTAAGATTTTAAGAAATGCTGTATCACCAATGTTCTTGAGGATATTAATGACTGAATTAAAAAATTTCTAGAAAACTTTTGTCTGAATGTATAAAATTTTCAGGAACAACTCAACCAATTTACTCTGATTATACTTTGCTTATATGCATGTATAAGATTGATAAAAGATAAAACCCTATGTCTAATTAAGCCTAGAAGAGTTCTTTCAATATAAAAGTATAGAATATGAATCTAAGTCACAATAAGCACTGAATTATAGTCTAATTGGAAGCATCTTTTTTAGAGGTAACAGTGCATCTTAGAAGCAATGGTAACTTAAAGTCAATGAAATACAGTATATGCTTTAAAGTGATGGCTTTTTATCAGAAGATCAAGTTATCTTTAGAAAATGTGATATCCCAGGAAAAGCACTGGGTGGTGATCAAGAGGTCTAGCTGTGACACTAATTTGCTGGGAGACATTAAGTAGCAATGAAATTTTGCTTTATTTTACTGGTCACTTATGCAACAATGGAAACAATTCATTAGGAAGTAAATTATCTGGCAGAAGTAATTGTGCAAATTCACTTAGTGTTCCAAACATTTTCATGGCTCTTTACATACAAAACAATAATCCATATGGCACATAATGTTACAGCAGTCCTTTTACCGAAGATATGACAGTGCATTTCAAAATAGCAACTTTAGAATTAAGTATCTATAAACGCTCAAATATAGCATCAACTCTTAAGTCAGTGAAGCTATCTCTTCAGGGACCAGAGATAATATGATCCTTTTGGAAAATCTACAGAAAAAAAATCTGTCCATTTGTTTCTGTGATGATAAGAAAAATAAAAATTATTAAAATCAAATAGAAATGTGAATCCTGCCATTTCCTTGTCTACCACATATGAAGTAGAATCCTAGACACTCTTTGTTACCTACTTCTGCCTTACTGTAGTTATGCATGTATTATATTTGCATTTTATATTATTTCTTTATTAATTATGGTCCTTCTCTCTCTCAAGAACATAATGAGAGCAAAAGATTGGTCAGGACCTTTGTCTCCTAGGGAGTGTCTGATATATAAGGCATTTTCAATAAAAAACTGTGTGTAATGGTTTGATAAATTAGGTGTTTGGGAAAATCTTTAAGCAAAAATATTGCTTTAAGCACTATATAAATGCAATATGTTGTGAGAATGAGACAAAGGACAGCATGGACCTTACCCTATATTTTCAAAGGCACATATGTATAGGGTATATTTATTTGCTTGGGGGCAAGTCCACTTATCTGTGATGCCCAGCAGAGATGTTTTCAATCGAAAAGATAAGGCAAGGGTTAAGAAAATCAAACTTGATCTTTCTTCTATTCTCTGGCTTCTCTTGTTTTCCATTCCATTCTGACATAGTTTAAGAGAAATTTTAATGTCATATATTCTATGACATGGAACAATTTAGTGATGGCTTTAAGAAGAATTTTGAGAGTAATTTTTATATCATAGTTACTGAAACTTAAATTACTCTTTTCTTTTAAATTGCTATGGTTATGTATTTGTTATAAATTCTCAAAAAGAGCTTTTTACTGCTTTGTAGTTCTCTCTTGCTTAAATCTGGAATATATGTTTTAGTTATCAGTGAAATTACTAATCTATTTTCTAAACAATTTAATTTGAACAAGTTGCTGTTTCACCTTTTTCTTTAGATTTAGATCTTTGATCATCTATATATAAATAATTATTAATAATTTTATATATCTTTGTGTTTGTAGTACATGTTTGACCTTAAGCTAAACAATTTTGCAAAAAGCAGGTAATGAATAAATAATGTGTACATATGGACATTTAGAGAAAATTAATCTTTGAAGCTTTTTTTTTCTTTTGTTTGCAATAAATGGTACTTCGCTTCTAGATATGTATCTAATCACAATTATAGAATTGCTCAAATTTTTAAATTGTCAGACAACCATTTTTCATGTTTTCTCTCCTGATTATGCAAACTAATAAAGAGGGAACATTAAAGAAGGTCTCTGTCAGTTAATCTTCAGAATTTTTAAAATGTAACCTCATCTCCAGGTCTCAGATTACTTCCACTGAGGTAAACATTAATACACTAAGCATATTCTACAAGGATTTAACAAAAGTTGAATGCTCTCCTTCCTGTCTCTCATCAAAAAGTCTAAACTATTCAGGCCATAAAAATAGTACTAACAACAACTAACATTTTTACGTCCTAACTACTTGTCACTAAGCACTAACACAACTGTGTATAACTAAAGCACGCAGTACTGTATACATATTCCTTCATTTAATCTGAAAACAACCCTATGAGGTAGATAATATCTTAGAGTCTAGGTAAAGCAGTATGAAGAGGTATATTGAAAAAAACCTGCAGATTTCCTCCTGTGTGTTTCTCCTTTACTTTTTTTCTTTCAGTTTTATTGAGATATAATTGACATACACTACTTTGCTTATACACAGAACACTATTACTGACACTTCTGGTCACCAAATGTGTGTGGGTTTTTTCCCCACACCAAAGCAATTCATGACACCAACTGGGTATCCTACAATTTAACTCAGTTCTGGAAATGGGTCAGACACCACAGGTTAAGAGCTCAGTCCCACAAGAATGTTCCCACGACACTTTAGATACCAACTGAAAGTAGTAGGTCCCCAGAGTACCCACAACTTCTGTCTGACTTGGCTACAAAACGGAGGTTTTCACAATTCCCTCCTCGGGTTCTATTAATTTGCTAGAGCAGCTCACAGAGCTCAGAGAAACACTTATTTACATTTACCAGTTTATTGAAGAATATGATAAAAGAATACAGATGAACAACCAGATGAAGTAATACATAGGCTGGGAGGGTCCCAAGCCTGGGAGATTATGTCCCTGTGAAGTTGGGATGTGTCACCCTGCACACGAATGTGTTCATCAACCTGGAAGTTCCCAGAACCCCCTACTCTTGGAATTTTATGGAGGCTTCTTCACGTAAGCATAATCAACTATTAACTCCATTTTTAGCCCCACTCCTTTCTTTGGAGGATGGGGGCAGAGCTGAAAATACCAAGCATCTAATCATGTCTTTCTGGTGACTAATCCCCATCCAAGAACCAACCAGGAGTCCACTCAGAGTCGCCTCAATAGAACAAGATGTGTTCCTAGTGTTTTTATTACTTAAGAAATCACAAGGGTTTTAGGAACTCGGTGTCAAGAACTGGGAGCACAAACCCATATTCCATTACCTCATGAGAGGTAATGAGACTTACCTTAAAGAGTTTTCAACACAGGTCTTTCCAACTCTAGATCTCAGATCTTGACATCAGTGCTATAAGGAAATGCCATGAAATAATTAATTATCTTACAAAATACAACCTTGTCAATTACACAATTTTACTACAATGAAATATAGTTAGTTAAAACTACTACTATAGTTATTCCTAATAGTTCTATGTCTCAAACACCATACTTGAGAGGACTTAAACTGATGTATATTTGAGAAAATTCTAAGGTATACTAGTTAGTATGATGAGCAGATCTTTAATTTGAATAAGGAGACCACCAATGTATCTTCTGTTATTCTTAAAAAAAAAAAAAAAACCCACATTGTACCTTCAACACATTGTAATTTGGCTCAAAAATTTTACTACAGATGATTCCTTTGACCCATGTGTTTTTTAATTATTATTTATATGCTTTACAAATTGTCACATTATCTAGATATATTTCAATGTGAGTTCATTCAAAGTAAACTGCAGAACATACTCATATTCTTTTATAGATCATAACATTTGCCATGTTATAAATATTAATTTAATACTTTTAATTAAATAGGAATAATAAAAAAGGAATAATAACATAAGTATCAGAAAATAATTATTCAGAAAAAGTAGATATACGGTATATGGGCCTAAGAAATATCTACTTGTTAGCTCTGCAGTTGTCCTAAAATGAATTTGACATGTGTGGTAAACTGAATAACCGCCCTCAAAGATGTCCTTGTCTTAATCTCTGGAACCTGTAAATATGTTACCTTACATGATAAAAGGAACTCTGCAGACGTGATTAAGTTTAGGATCTTGTGATAGAGAGATTATGCTAAATTACCTGGGTGTGCCCAAAGTAATCACAAAAGTCCTGTAAGAGGGAGGCAGCAGGATCAAAGTCATGAAAAGGAGTTGTGAAGATGGTAACTGAGGCTAGAGTGATGTACTTTGAAGACAGAGGAAGGGACCATGAGTCAAGGAAAGCAGGGAGCCTCTAGGAAAGGAAAATTAAAGGAAATGGATTCTCTTCTAAAGCCTCCAGAAGGTCCTGCCAACATCTTGATTTTAGACCTCTAGAACTATAAGAAAATAAATTCATGTTCTTTTAAGCTACTAAGTTTATAACAATTTGATAGAGCAGCATTTGAAAACTAATAAATTACGGTTGTTAAATAGAACTTCTCACACTTTTACCTCTGGCCAAGATTTACCAAAAGTTTGTTTTAAGCAAAAACAAGCAAACCAACATATTGAATACAAAAATAAAAACAAACCAAAACCCAAACTACCAAAAATAAAAAAAACTGTATGTGAAAAGTAGTTTTCAAAACAATGGATATCATGCAATGAATGTTAGCCATCCCTGACAGGCACGAAACAAATAAAAGCAGTCCAACAAGTTTTCTAGTTTAATGCTTTGAGAGACTCTTCAGGCCATGGCACAGGGAGGAGGAAACTAGGCGTAACCTGGAGAATGCACTGAGCTGAGGAGACAAGCAGAGTCTGAGGAGAACCTGGCAGCAAGATTCCACAGAACAGAGTCCCTGAAGAGAAGGGGCCGCTGAAGAGACCTAGAGCTCTGGGGATCTGCTAGTGAGGAAACCACCTGAGGCTGAAGGAATGCCAACCATAAGAATTAGAGTGAATGGGGCCTGGAACACAGACATGGCGTGAATCGTGTCTGACTCCTCCAGGCAGCCTGTGAAAACTCCTAATTCACTTGACAGAGTGCTCAGAAAATGTTTACCTCAGTAGTGGGGTATAATTATCCATAAACTGAGCACTGTTCCAGGCACATATAACAAATTAAAAAAAACAAAACACCTGAAAGGACCAAACTTCTTTCCAAGTAACTTCTCTGAGTCCCCAAAGCTTAATATTTATATAAATGCAACAAAATACGCACGAGGGGCTGCGTGGCACATCCTGCAGGCGGTGGTGGGCAGGCGGCCAGGCGCAAGATGAGGAAATTTCGGTTCCTTAGGCAGAGCTTCCACCCGCCGCACGAAAAGCTAAAGCAGGAGCTCCTCGCCTTCCCCAAGACCGAGGAGCATGGCTTCCCCAACCAGCCCGGCCAGCGCCCTGGCCTTCGACCCTGAGCTTCGCGTCATGGCCTGCCGCACCAGGTCTGGAGCCGTCAAGATCTATGGTGCCCCCTGGTGTGGAGTTCACGCGCCCGCACCGAGACATGGCCACCAACACCCAGATGCACCTCCAGCCCGGCCAGGGCCACCTCCTGACCCTGCTGGATGACAGCAACCTCCATCTTTGGGAGATCGTCCACCACAATGGCTGCGCCCACCGGGAAGGAGCCCTCAGCTTCCAGCTGCCTAGGCGCCTGGACTTTGACAGTGCCACTGGCCTGCTCAGCCTCTCGCATATCACAGTGGTCCATCTGGTGGCTTCTGGTGACAGGGCAGCCCTGGGCACTGAGGGTGGTAGCATCGTCTTCCTGGATGTTCCCACCGTGACGCTGCACGAGGAGGGCAGACCCTTGGCGCTGAAGAAGTTCCGTGAAGGTGAGGCCATCAGGCTTCCCAGCATCCTCTTTGCCGGGCAATCAGCTACCCGCTCACACCACCCCCGCACCCCGCTCCCGCCATGCTCCCTCTGGGGGGATATACTATACATATATATATATAGTACGTACTATATATATATATATATATATATATATAGTACATGCACATGCACATGTGGGCACCCACACACACACGGGATAAATTTCAAAATGAATGGTATCTAATCAGATTGCCAGGCATGAAAGAAGTAGAAAAATAAAAACCCGCAATGAGAAGAGTAACTGTCAATTGAAACCAGATCAAAATTTACACTGATATTAGAAATATCAGAGAAGAATTTTAAAACCATTATAACTCTGCTGTATATGCTGAAAATGCTAAGTAAAGACCCGGAAAACATTTTTTAAAGACTCAAATCAAATTTCAAGAAATACAAACTACAATGCATATAATGAAAAATATACAACATGAGCTTAATGCAGATTAGAAATTACAAAAGAAAAGATTAGTGAACTTGAAAGATAGTCATAGAATTATCCAAATTATGTTATCTAATGGAATAATCCAAAGTGAAACACACAAAGAAAAAAAGGATTAAGAAAATGAAAAGAGCATAGGAGACCTGTGGAACAATTCAAATGATCTAATATGCATGTAACTGATATTTCTTAATGAGATGAGAGTGGGGAGACAAAATTTTTGAAGAAAAAGTTCTAAATTTGATTAAAACTATAAACCTACAATTCCAACAAACATAATGTATTGTAAATACAAGAAACTTGAAGAAAGCTACACCCATACAGAATATAATCAAATAGATCAAAACTAGACAAGGAAAAAACTTAAAAACAGCCAGAGGCAAATGATACATTACATACAGAGAAACAAAAATATTGATGGCGGCAGAGCTCTCATCAGACATAACACAAGGTGAGAAAACACTGCATCAATGTCTTTAAAATACTGAATTAAAAAGAAAATCAACCTGGAATTCTGTTCTGAGTAAAAATATATTTCATAAACAAGGTGAAATAAAGGTGCTTTCAGACATTCAAAGCTGAAATAATTCTTCACTAACAGACCTGTTCTATAAGAAATGGTTGGGACTTCCCTGGTGGCTCAGTGGTTAAGAATCCACCTGCCAATGCAGGGGATAGGGGTACGAGCCCTGGTCCAGGAAGATCTCACATGCCGCGGAGCAACTAAACCCGTGTGCCACAGCTACTGAGCCTGCACTCTAAAGCCCGCGAGCCACAACTACTGAGCCCGTGTGCCACAACTACTGAAGCCTGTGCACCTGGAGCCCATGCTCCACAACAAGAGAAGCCACCAAGATGAGAAGCCCGCGTACCTCAAAGAAGAGTGGCCACTGCTCGCCACAACTAGAGAAAGCCCATGCAGCAAAGAAGACCCAACACAGCCAAAAATAAATAATTTTTTTTAAAAAGGATTACTATTGTTTAAAAAAAAAAAAAAGAAATGGTAAAGGACATCCTCAAGCAGAAGAAAAATAGTAACAGCTGGAACACTGAATCTATACAAAGGTAGGGGAAAAGAAATATAAATTACAACTAAATGGGTAAATACATGATTTTTTCTTAATATTTAAATCTCAAAAAATCACCACAAACTTCCACATCTAGAAAGATGAAATAAATGTAAATTTTTCTATTCCTCCATTAAATATAGTTATGCATTCTGTACATTATATATAAAACAAATATAAAAAGTTTCTGAAAGAGAGAAGGCAAAATAGCTAGAGAACTCAAGATTTAAGAAATGTGCTCAAAAAAAAAAAAAAATGAAGTTCTTAGGAAGTAAATCCAATAAAACATGTCCAGTTTTGTATGCTGAAAATTATAAAATGGTGATGAAAATAGTCAACAAAGATCTAAATAATTGGAGAGATATAGTGTGTTTATGGATTGGAGGACTCAACATAGCAAAAATATCAATTCTCCCCAAATTGATATATAAGTAATATACAATTTTTATCAAAATTCAAGAATTTGTAGAAATAGACTAAAACTATTATAAAATTTGCATAGGAAAAGGAAGAAACTTGAATAGTTTAAGAATGTTTTGAAAAAGAGCAAAGTGGGAAGAATCAGTCTACCCAATTTCAGTTACTAGATAGCTACAGTAATCGAGACTATGTGATACTGCCAGATAGACAAACACAAATCATGGAATAGAACAGAAAACCCAAAAACAGACCCAACAAATATGCCCAAACTGACATTTTTTTAAGGTGCAAAACTAATTCAATGGAGTAAAGATAGATTTTTCAACAAGTAGTGCTTGAAGAATTGGACATCCATAGATTAAAAAAAAAAAAAAAGCACAACCAGTTTCACATCTCATAAAAATGTTAACTCAAAATGGATTGTGGATTTAAATGTAAAACTATAAAATACTTAGGGGCAAAAAAAACTAAGGGAAAATTTTTGATATATAGGGCTAGGCAAAATGTTCTTGGACTTGATGCCAAAAATACATTTTATAAAATAAAAATAGATAACTTATACCATATCAAAACTTAAAACTCTGGCTCTGCTAAATACCCTGATAAAAGAATGAAAATATACACTGCAAAGTGGGAGAAAATATTTGCAAACCATTAATCTGTCAAAGGACCAATACCTATAGTACATAAAGAACTTTCAAAACTCAACAGTAAAAAACAAATAATGCAATTAGAAAATGGGCAAAAAACATAAAGAGACATTTTATTGAAAAGAATATATAGCTGACAAATAAGCACTTGAAAAGATGTTAAACATCACTAAAGATTAGAGAAATGCAAATTAAAACCACAATGAGATATCATCTCACATCCATCAGAATATCTAAAATAAAAATAGTGTCAACATCAAATGCTGGTAAAGATACAGATGTGAAAGGGCCAGATGGGAAAGCCAGCCTCTCGCTCCTTCCAATTGCAAGTCTTTCAGCTGAAGCCGATCTCAGCCTGGGATGGTATAAAAATCTTATGTTAAATAAACTCAAAATTTTGATTATTAAATAGAATTGGGCTATTTTCTAAACTGAGATGGTTTTAATTCAAAGTGGCCCACAAACTACTTATATTATACAGAAATGTATTGGAACTGAACAAAGTCTGAGACTGAAGATCTAGCCTCTATTGAATCTATATTGGGAAGAGTGGAAGACAGTTTCTTTATGATATATCATTAATTGTAACTTGTAAAATATGGTGATTCATGTAATAAGCAAGAGATTGCTGAGAAATCATTCAAAACAGTTAAAATACGTACTTTTGACAAAGAATTTCAGAAATAGGAACATGAATAAGGTCCAGTATTACACAATTAATGAATCCCATTTTTTTAAACAATCCCTGTAAAAGAGGTATCCAAATATTCTCTGGAACATGAAGTCACTGATGGTAGTGCTCCTGGTGATAATGGACCTGTTAATGCATTTTTGTATTTAACCAAGAACCATGTATTAGAATACCTTTAAATATTAAGAATATTTATAATAGGAAATGTCATACCCTTTTGTAAGTATAATTGAAAGGACTTTATTCCTTTTCATCTGCAAATAAACACCACATCTCTATTGGCATCTTTATTAGTATTGCTTAAACTGATGTTTTCACAACTGCCCCTCGTGAGAACTCTGCACTGGGAGTCAGCAACTCTGGATTCTTTTTTCACCCTGTTGCTGGCTTAACACATTACTCTAGAAATACTACGTAACCTCTCCCTCCTCTCTTTCCACATTTTTTAAAAGACATGTATTATAGCTACTCCAAATACGCCAGAAAATCATTTTCAATTGCCAAGCATGTATTTATGGCGTGGTTTCCCAGTATCTGGAAGTATGCTTTACCTTGTGCTTAAAGGAAACTTATTGAAAGATTTAAAGTTGCCTAGAAACAAGCTGAAACTGAAGTTTAAAAAATGGGATTGGAAGGTGCTAGAATAACCAAGTATTCATATGGAGAAAAAACATTCCCTTCTATTTCACCCAATACATAAAAAAAAAATATTTAATGGGCAAATTCATAGAGACAGAAAGTACAACTGTGTCTACCAGGAATTTAAGGGGAGAGGGGAATGGGGAGTTACTGTTTAATGGATACAGAGTTTCAGTTTGGGATGGTGAAAAAATTCTGGAGATGGATAGTAGTGATGTCACTCAGCAGTTTGAATGTACATAATGCCAATAAGTTATATACTTAAAATGGTTAAAATCATCAATTTTATGTTATATATATTTTATCAAAAAATACAATTGAAAAGAGAAAAGGAATTGAGTCTTTGGAAAGCAGGGCGGCCCTCATAGCAACCTCTGGTCCTAACTAATGTGTGGCTTATCAAGTAGGATGGGATAAAACCACTGCCTCACTTAAAGGCTGGGGTTAAAAGACAATAAAATAATGCTTCAAGACTTTAAAGTACACATCAAACTGGTGGAATAAAAAATGCATAGCAAGTATATGTTACAAATGTGTGCTTAGAACTATAAAAAAAAGTGAAATAGCATAATTTCCATTAGACTGAGACATCAGACTCCCTTGAGATGCCATACATGGCGTCCTACGTGATATGAGCAGTTTAATGTATGCCAATTATACCTCAATAAAACTTAAGAAATTTTTTTAAATTCAAAGTGAATGATAGAAAGAAATTTAAAAGCTAAAAATATAAAACTTCTAGAATAAAAGAGAAAAATATCTTCATGATGTTAAGATAGACGAAGGTTTCTACAGAACACAAAGAGCCTTAACAATAAGAGAAAAAATTGGTAAATAAGACTTCAACAACAACATGTATGCTCATCAGAAGGAATAATTAAGAAAATAAAAACATAAACCACAGACCTGGATATTAATATCTGCAATGCCTATATGTGATAAAGAACTTGTATCTAGAATATACATGTATGCATATATATATATATATTTTTTTAATCCCTAAAACTCAATAATAAAAAGACAAACACAATACAAATGGGCAAACAACTTGACAGACACTTCCCCAAGAACATACAACTGGCCAGTAAACACATAAAAGGTGTTCAGTATTATTACTCATCATAGAAATGCAAGTAAGAACCACATCACTAGAATTGCTAAAATTAAAAAGAATCACAAAATCAATTGTTAGTAGTAGACATGTGGAGCCACTGGAACTCCCATATTTTGCTGGTGAAAGAGAAACTGGTACCATCACTTGGAAAACCACTTGGCAGTTCACTATAAAGTTAAAACATACCTACCCTGTGATTGAGAAAATTCACCTCAAAATACTTTTCCAGAGGGAAATAAAAACTTCTGTCCCAAAAACCCTCGTATAAGAATGTTTATTACAGTTTTATTTATAATACTAAAAACCAGAAACAAATTAAAATGTGAATGAGTAAACAAATTGTAGATATTTATACAAGGGGATACTAGCTAGAAATATAAATAAAAGTACAATCAAGGCACACAACAGCATGGATGAATTCCACAGAAATCATTTTGGGCAAATGAAGCCAGGTATTTAAAATTCCATTTACATACAGCTGTAAAACAGGAAAAACTGGTAACAGAAATTAAATCAATTGTTGCCTTGTATTTTGGGAGAAACTGAATGTAAGAGATTGAATGTGAAGGTGCATGAGGAAATGTTCTGAGGTGATGGAAATGTTTTCGATTATAGTGTGGTCACATAGGTATATATATTTGTCAAAACTCATTCCACTGAAAACTTAATACCTATGCATTTTATTCAAATTATACTTTGTGATGATTAATTTTATGTGTTAACTTGGAAGGTATTTGTGGATGAGATCAACAGTTAAACTGGCGGTTTGAGTAAAGCTCTCCATAATATGGGTAGGCCTCATTCAACCAGGTGAAGGCCTGAATAAAGCAAAAACGACTGGCCACCCTAGCAAGAGGACTGCCTTCCTCCAGCTGACTACCTTTAGACTTCATCTGCACCGTTGGCTCTCTGGCCTGCCACCCTACCCTGCCAATTCTGGACTTGCTAGCCTCCATATTTGTGTGAGCTAATTTCTTATAGCAAATCTCTCTCTCTACCTCTCATATATACATATACACAAACACACATCCTATTTTTTCTCTGGCAAACAATGATTAATATGTACCTCAAATCCAGAAAATAGTATAAAGCAAATTCTCCAGAAACAATATGCTAATTCAAGGAAATCCTTCCAAGACAGTAGATTCCATTCCAAGCCAGATTCAGAGTCCACATCTCAGAGGTAGCCAAAAATACTGTTTATTTTTCTTTATGAATCTTGCATAATCCTACTACTGGGAAAATCAAGTTTGAGCTTTCATTCTATCAACTTTCTCCTTCCCGAAGGTTCTGAGTCACTATCCGCCATGTAATCTATTTCTTAGCAGCTATTTCAATTTGTCCCTACTCTAGGACCAGAGTCATTATGGCTATACTCCTACAACAGAATCTTACTGCTCTTCATGACCTTTCTGGGTCATGGCTGGAAGCACTTGGAATCAAACAAGGCCACTCCAACCTGTCAGGGTCTGAATAAAGTGTCTGCCTTCCCTGCACTGTGTACCTGAAATTCCTGCTCACCTGTTTGGCTGTTAGCCACTGTTTTCTGCCAGGTTTCTTGAAATCTTGCTCTACACAGGCATAGCTGAAGAATCAGCCAACTACTTGAGAGAAAATTTGCATACAGATTATTGTATCCACTTTGCTGAAGTTCATCTCACCAAGATGTTTCTCCCTCAAGTCCCATCCATTTTCTCAGTTCCAAGCTCACTTTTGTAAAATAGGCCATTTTCTGCCTTGGCTCTATTCCTAGGAACTGAAAGCCAAAAAATATCTTCAGACGAAACAGCCAAAATATTTGAGTAACATCATTTTCCTTCCTTTCTCTTAAAGAAAGGAGCCCTATACCCAGCCTGTCTCAGTTGCTCTCCAGGGCTTTCCAAAAGTTGCTTTGTGTAGTTTGTCTATATTTAGTAATTATTTTCAGGGACATCACAGCGAGAACCAAGGTTAGCAGAGTGCATCTTTAAAAACATAAATTTTATCAAGTCACCCCCACTCTCCAACCTTAAAATCCTTCAATGGCTTCCAACTACACTTTGAACGAATTCAGATACTTAGCCTTGACCTAAAAGGACTGCATAATCTGACCCTGCCTATCTCTCCTGGTTCACCTAGAGCCACTGCTGCATTATGTTCAGAGTTACTTAGCCACATGTCCCTTCTTGCAACTCTTGAAACATAACACTACCATATATAAAATAAACAACAAGGACATACTGTATAGCACAGGGAACTATGTCCAATATCTTGTAATAACCTATAATGGAAAAAAACTGAATAAATGAATGCAAACATAAGCATATATATATATATATATATATATATATATATATATATATATATAATATATAACCAAATCACTTTGCTGTACACCTGAAACTAACACAGTGTTGTAAATCAACTATACTTCAATTAAAAACAAAAGACAGAACTACCATAACAAGCCTCTTGGTGGCTCAGGGGCCTTTATTTTGGCTACCCCCTCACCTCTGCTTGAAACACTCTTCTCTCTTTTATTAACTTATTTCTTCTCATGATTGACGATGATTGACCCCAATGCAACTTTTTCAGAGAGGCTCTCCTTAATGACATTATGTAATCTCATACTCCCTTGTTATTCACTATTTCTGTACACTCTTTTTCACTTTACTCTTTCAGTGCGCATCACAATGTAAAAAGTTACATAGCAAAATCATACCCAAAGAAACGGAGAAAGTGAAGAAGAAATAAGTAGGATTTAGCTAAGCAGAGAAAGAGAATACAATTACAACATCTGCAAAGTCACTTATATGCAGAGATTAGTAATAATATTCAAGTCCGAGGAAGGGAGATGATAAAAGGGAAGTGAATATGTAAGGCTTTTACTAAAAAGTCAAGTCACTTTTTGTATACTGTTGCAAGATTTGATTGACTTGTGAAATGAACAATTAACAAACATGAAATTATTTTTTTTTTATCAATTCTTAGGCCAAATTTGCTTTGTGTGTCCTCATCTCTTTCTATGCAAGTGAAAAAAATTAACATTAGTGGTGTCTTTTGTTCTCAACTCACTCATACAATTAATGGAATTTTTGTTTTCTACTAAAAACTGTCTTCAAAGTATTTTATGTATTCATCTTGCAGTAAGATTAGTAAATCTTTATTAAATCTGTTGCACATATTTTAAAAGTTCTTGACATTTATTATAATTTTTTTGCCATATCAAAGTTTGAATTTTTGCAGTTAAATCTGTCTTTTTCTTTATCACTCCTCTTGATGTGTCACACGTAGAAAGTACTTCCCTACCCTAAGATGCATTCAAGTTTTTAAGTCATCTTAAAATTTTATTGTTAGTATGTATTAAATACATTAGAATTTCTTTTGATTTATGTTGTAAATAGGGAATCTAAATTATCATTTCCTAAATGTCAATCATCACTATATACTATATGATAATATTTTCCCCATAGCTTTAAGATGTCAATAATAAAATACTTAATATTTACAATTATATGAATACGTGTGAATTCAGTACATACACACATACACCCCTGTATCTAGGTATTTTGCTCTGCTTAATTGATACATCCATTAACCTTTATAATAGTGCTTCTTAATGACTATTTGTTAAATAAATAGAATTAAATTACATATTAATTAGTCATTAAATTTTTACTTAATATTTATTTAGTAACCAAATTAAATATAGCATCTCAACTTTACATGTATATTTTAATATGTTCTAAAACAAAGCACTATTTTTTACTCTTGTTTTCAAAAGTTATTGAATATTTTACTTTGTTTATTCTTAAAGTAACAATATGAAATGATCATCTCAGACCACATTAGAAAAACATGTCACATTTGATGCAAAAAAGAGTCATCTAGAGACTGGTATAAATATACTGAGAGAAATGTTTTCTACAGAGCTGGGATAAAACTAGATTTCAAAGATTTGCTCAACCTTATTTTGATTCATCCAGTGCCTTACTGAGTACATAGAAACCTTTCAGTAAATATTTATTGATTGAAAAACATATTTGAAGGCGTTTCAAATGTGAGCTATTTGTCCAAGCTGTACAAATAAAATTACACAGATAAAAAAATTCCCCTTTATAATTTTATTAGACATGAGTTTTCAACCAGCTTGAATTAACAATTAATACATGTTTATTGGCTGCTTGTAGAAGTCTCAATTGTTTTTACGGTATATACAAAGAAGTAGAAGATGTAATGAGTCTCTTGTTTCAAATAGTTGGCAATAAAATGGGGAAACGTTATGTGTGTTTAACCACTAGAAGGAAATTAAGAATTTTTAGGGGAAGGAAGTTTGTAAGGTCTGGAATCGCATAGGTTCCCTTACAGAAGGCTAAAGAAGGATGGATGGCCTTTCACCTTAGATACATAACAATAGGCAGGGAAAATGTCAACACAGCAGAGATCCTCCCCTCTAGTACCAGGAATCTTGGTGTGAAAGCTTTGATGAACTATTCCCATGAAGCAAGTAGACTTCATGAGTCCTATGCCAATTATTTTAGGTGGAATTATTTTTGAAAATATACTTAACTGGAAAAAAGTAAAATATGATTTTTTTACTCTTTACACATAGTGTGCATTTTCCTTTCTTTTTTTTAATTTTTTACTTTCATTTTTTAAATTCCATTTTCAGGCAAAAGGCTTGGGTTCTTGGCAGAGGGTATTAATGTAAGTATTCAGTTCTGTATTCTCCAGTCCCTAGTACTACACAGACATTTAGGTTATCTATTTTCTACATATTTATTTTCGTTAACTGCATATACAACAAACAAAGGAAATAAGGGAAAAAAGGATTAAATATATTTAAGCCCACTGTGTGTTGTGCCTGTAGACATGATGTTAGGAATCCACATGAAAATACAAAGATCAAGCCCTTCAACAGGTCTGATTTTTGGTGCATTGGGCCAAGACATATGCAAGAAAAAAGCAGAGCAGTTAATGAGCTAGTAAAAAAATTTATTAAGATTAGAACCTACATAATTAGATGATACTTGCTGATGTTTTTCTTAGTGTGTATATATCATATATCCTTAAAATATCTGTAATATTTTGTTTGCTTGGAGAAATAAATTCAAAACAAAAAGTTTCACAACAGATATATCAACGTAAGGATCACATTTCATATTTTATCCTGGAATGTTTATGAAATCTCTGCTCCATTAAGTCTTCACCCCAATAACCTTAGAAAGCCCATTGATATTACAGTTTAGTTCTTGTTGGTTGATATTTATATCTTTCAGCAATAAATGCTTTTATTTTGAAATTGCTTATGAAAAGGTTAAACTAGTTCACCATATGCAGAAAATAAACACTTATTTTCCCTCGGATAAAATGCCAAGAATGTGAAAATAAACAGGTGGATTTATGGATGTATACCAAAACATCACTAAAGCTTAGTTGATTCTGCTTACAAAGCCACCTTAATATTCAGTGGAGATCACTGCCAGATCCATTCGACAATAGTGATTGATGTAAATAAGTAAAGACAGAATCATTCCCCCAATTATATTGCATCCTAGCTCAGCTGTTCAGGCTAGGCAGCCATGGTTCCAGATACTGAACTTTCTCTGTCACTCTCCCCTTCGTTAGTTCTCTTTTATCTTCATACATTTTATAGAAAATAGCCCACTTTTGACCCTAGAGGGGTTTTTTGTTTGTTTGTTTGGTTTGGGGTTTGATTTTGGCCATACCACAGGGCATGCCGGATCTTAGTTCCCCAACCAGGGATCGAACTTATGTCGCCTCCAGTGGAAGTGTGGAGTCCCAACCACTGGATGGCCAGGGAAGTCCCAACACAAGAGTTTTAATATAAAAGTAAAAAGGTCTCTCTCTCTCTCACTCCTAGACCTAGGTCAAGATGGGAAGGGGCATAGGGAGACTCAAGTGTCCTCAGTAACTTTACTTTGGTTTTGATATGTAGTAATGACTGAAAATGGAGTAACCAAGGCATTTAGCTCCCAACTATCTCTTCTTATACTCAGGGTGAATTGATCAGCAAGGTTCATGCTCTGCAGGAAAGCCCTGTGAGCAAACAGATAACAATTTATGCTCCTGCAAATCCCTTCATAAACTGCACCCTTGATGTTAGTGTTCTTCTTAGCAAAGAAGCTCCCGGGAGAATGGGAGAT